CCCATGAGCGGAGTTTAGGTGGGCGAGGATGGTGACTAAGAGTTCTGGACTTCAACAAGTCAGACTATTAGTGCATCCATTGTCATATTACTATTTCCCAGCTTGACACCCAGACACTGGCATACACTGTGGCTCTGAATAAGCCATTGAAGCTGCAGTCAGAACAATACAGGCAGTTGCTTTTCTGGCTGCAGCAAAGTCCGTTGTAAAGGTTACCACCTGCCATCCAACCTGCAGCTGTTCTCCACTGCCCTCATAACTGCATGTGCGCTCTCTGCCTGCGCCTCTTCTATCAACATGATCCTGTGGTTTTCAGGAACTTCTAAAAACTTGTTGTCAAAGATAAAACAAAAATTACTTGCTTTAACCACATCTGTTCCTGACAGTATATGCCAGGCCTGAGCGTGAGGGAGAAGAATTAATATAGAGGCCTTTTTAAGATAAAGAGACATCTTACAGCAATCCTGATGGCTTGTCTGTGTGGAAATCAGATTGCATACCAGGTGTTTTGTAAGCAGAACACAGTAATTTAAAGGCAAAATTGACCCTTTGTGACCTCTATGATATGTGGAGCTAGTGCACATGTTTTTCTTTTTCTCTTCTGTGTAGCTGATGTGTTTCAGAAGTAGCGTGTAGAGCTCAGATCTGCAGAGACAGGTAGTTACCTACTAATATAAAAGTAAGTCCAACTTCTCTTTAAATACCCTGATGCTCCAACAAACAGATCTTCCTTGGATCTTGAAGTGACTCATCATAAGCCATCTGATACCTTATTTTAAACCTGCTACCCTCAAGCAGAGATCAGCTGCAGGTATTTTAACAAGAAGCTGCTCTAGCTGATCCTTCATTTTAATCTGTGATAAACGCGTTGTCCTAGAACTGCCTGAGCTTATGGGGAGGAAGAAGACGACAGATGGAGAAACTATTTGTTTACCCACTGAAATACAAACACATTCTTATTTTAGACCAGAAGCTGTTCGAGGCAATGACTGTCATATATTATGGCTGTGTCTACTGTTATTTTAGTGTAGGGCTTCAGTTTATCTAGAGGTCCAGATTCTGCAGTGTCCCTACTAGCAACAAAAAAGCTGGGTTTCTGCCTCATCTTCAGAAAGAGTCAGGCGGCCATTTGGGAAAGGAAACTAAAGTTGTGAAGTGGGTTTACTCACATTTCAGCAGTGACCCTACAAGTACTGTGGGTGCCATTGTGCCCATACTCAAGTCCTTCTCTTCTTGTTAATGGAGATGTAGGGTATACATTAGTGGATTAATTGTTTGCAGCTTCTGGGTAGATCCTGCTCAGAATATGGACTTAGGAGATAGCATGAAGCAAGCAGAGTTGTGAGTTGTTCTTAGATGGCAACATTGAAATGCTGCTGTTGACCAATAGGCAGAGAATATAGCATCCACTTTTTGAAAAAACCCTGCACTTCCTGTGGCATTTTTCAGGCACTTCTGGGCCCAAGGCTGTGCTTCTGCATAACATTTGACAGCAATAGGAAGTGCTTTGAAGTGCTTCAAAAGGCTTGATGCTGTTGTGATTCACCTACTTAGCTGCACTAGTAACTGAGGACTGAGTACGCGTTCACAGTAACTCTTAGATTATAGAGCTGTTTGGAATAGGGACTTAGTCATGATCACATGCAAATAGAATAAATAGAATTAGTGTTTATGCAGCCTTCTGTAGATCTTCACTTTTTTTGTGGGGGGTGGGACTATTGTGAGTCAAAACCACCACCAGTTTATCAAAACCAGTTATAACCAACGTTCAGCCTGAAAAAGTAATCATGTGAACTGTTGTTTCTGACAGACTTGTGCTGGATTGTTGAGAATGGTAAGTTGGAAAGAGAGGTGCAGGTGTGCCTGTGCCCGTGCCCATCCTGGTTTATAGGTGTTATAGCATCTCAGAAGAGCGAAACTCACTGTTCTGAGTGACACCAGGATGAGATCTGTCTCTCTACCCCATCTACTGTTTTGATGTGAGCTTTGAAGTAGTTCTGAGATTTATTTGAGATAGGTTTAAATGTTATTTGGTGATGGGGTAAGAAAAGTCACAGACAGAGACATTCACAACATGATCATACAACATTTTTTCCTAAGAAAAGTGGACTAGGATTATGTTATGAGAAGATCACTAGCAGGGCATTAAAATGATAGGGAGTGACTCTGATATATTGCCCTGTCTCCCATGTGTATTTATTCACTGTTGTAACTGGACAGATTCTCAGAGGGTGTGAATCTAGGGAGCTTCACTGGAGTTACAGTCACTGGGGAACCCAAATGTGGTGCTCCAAAGGGAGTGTTAAGCCCCACTTGTGCACAGAAGTCCAGGGAAACAGTGCCCTTTTCTGCCTTTGCACTTCACATCCTCCTAGCAAATGTAAAAGCCCAGGCCGCTGTGGACCTCATGAGTGTCAAAGCTATGGGGAAACCCTGGGGCTGCGGTCCCAGCAACCTCCACAGTGCTGTCCCAGAGTTTGACTCCACTGGGACACGTCAGGGCTTAGGTTTCATGCTTGGAGTCACTGCTATCTCTAAGCAGAGGGGTCACTTTGCTACACAATGATCATTGCCAAAACTACAGCCATGGCAAATGTGAAACATGGTGTCAAATGTGGAACAGTTGGGCTCTAACTTCCTAGGGGTGTCTTTCACCAGTGACAAAGTGAGCTTGTGCAACATCTTTCCAACGCATTAACATGCACTCTTGATGCATCTGTTCCTGGAGCACTAACTGGCGAGTGGCTGAAAATAGATAAGCAAAGAGAAAGGGCCAGATTTGTAAGAAAACCAAGAGATACTCCAGGATTGTGTCTGGGCCCAGATAGTTCAAAATTAGTTGGAGAGGGCCTGGTGCTTCTCTGATAGATACGTAACCAGGAAGAAATTTGAAACTGAATTATTTTGAGGGATGGCTGAAATTTCTAAGGCTCTGTGAAGAACATCACCCTCTGCTTAAGGAAGGGCTCAGACTTTGGTACAGTGGCATCAGAGCTGATCTAACCACTGCTGTGATCCCACTCTCCCCACCCCATCCTCAGCTGCACACTTCTGCCTCCCTTCTTGCACTTTTCTGGCAATGGTAAGCTTTGCACTGAGCTGGTTCGTAGTGCTGACCGGACAGAAAAAGCCAACTGATGTAGCAAGCTGAAATGGCTCAGCAGAGACCCCAACAGGGGAGATGCGTGAGCAGGGAGGGGTGGGAGCATAGAAACATATTTTCCAGTACTTGGATTACCTTTGGCTGTCATGGAACCACCTCCAGCACACCTCTCTGACAGGATACAGCGGAGATCTGCATTATTGGTAAGGCTGCTGTGTATGGTGGCTGTATGGCTTACCTCCTCCACACCACCATCCCAAGCGGCTGTTCCAGCCAGTATTGTAGCACATGACAAATTCTCTTGTGTCAGCTGCAGGCTGGGTTGGGGAACTGATCCCACTTGAAAGAAAAATAAGTATATTTTTCTGAATAAGATTTATTCACTGATTTGTTCACTAACACATTTGCGCGATCATGTAGACTGGAACAGCTGGGGGAGCAGCGTGCCAATGCATTTAGGTGAGAATGAGCAGTACAGAATGGTAGTTGGGGAAACGAGAAAGGCAGTAATACCCAGGGATGGTTTTGCCCTTAAATACTTCTGATAAATAATATCAAAGCAGAGGTACAGAGATTGACTGCTCCAAGGAAGCGAGTTGAGTTGGAAAATACTCTTTAATTGATGCATTGCTAAATGCTGCTTAGCATCATCCATAGCTGGAATTACTAGCGATTTTCCTTGGTGAAGGCTTAGATCTTCTTTGTTCTGCTCTCAAAAGTTTGATCATATGTTTGTTGAGATTTGCAGTACTGCTCAGGACATATGGCAGCCCTTTTGTATTGAAAACATCCAACTTTCTGATTGTGTGTTGCTGTGTTATAGCGTGCTTACACTGCAGACAGCTGGAATAAACAGTATGAAAAGGGGAAAACCTCATGGGCCCAATGTGTGGAGGTCAGTGTAATCAGTACAAAGCCCTTGCCAGGTACCTTTGCAACTCGGGAGGCTTGAGGCTGTACCACACCAAGTGCCTGAATTACCAAGGGGCCAATAAGGTTTTGAAGCAGTACCTGTCTCTCCTTGTCCCTTGAGGGCCTGATCCTCCTCTGGGATGGGTCATACTTAGGATACACAGCCCCCTTCAGCAGCTTAGCATTCTCCATCCTAGAAGCACTTCAGCTTCTCACCCTACTCCCCTTCTTCTAGAATTTTGCCCACTGTAGTGGCCTGAACCTCCTTCCTGTTCTTCTCCTCCTCCTCTTCAAATATATTGGCCTTTTCCAGCCAGTATATTTGGCTAAGTTTGTTAATGGGCACTTATCTCCTTTTGTTCTTTGTATTTTGTTAGCTAAAGCAAAAAGCTCTTACCGTTCCCTGGCTTTACTGTTCCTGTGTTTCCAGGCAGCAATTTCTTTCAGCTACCCTCTGCTGATGAGGTAGATAGTATGTACCTTTTAAACAGATTAAATGAACCCAGGCAGATTGTAGCACATAGAGAGTGGCTTCCCCTGCCATACACAGTGTCAAAGCATGAAGTTGAATCTGTTGCTTTCTATAATCATGGTTTATTAGGACACACAGTTTGTGTAGAGGCATGTCCATGTTCTGACTCCTGGCCTTCCTCTTGGGTGCCCTGGACTGAAAAACAAATAGCGAAGGAGAGACAGAGAAACAAAATGACCCTGTGAGATATAAAAGAGGGAGATCCTGGATAATATCTGAGTTCCTTTGAAGTGAAGGCTGAATAGATTAGGAAAAGTGTAATGGAATTAAAGCCACTATTTTTTGGAGTAGATATACTTTTACCCTGGCTAAGCAATTTCCTGGCTGATTTTTTTATCACTTTCCAGCACCTGCTCGTTTCAGAGGGCGACACTCCAGAGATTACTCTGAGCCAGTGCCAACAGCCAGCATTTCTCACTCCCCTCTCACCCGCCTCCGCCCCCTGCACTGCTCTGGACGCACACCCTGATATAGAATGACAGCACATTGCCGCAATTTAAATGACGCTGCCTCCGCCTCTTCAGAAGGACAGGTCCTCCAGAGAGCACCAGCCACAGCAACTGCCCACCCTTGCAAAAAACGTCTTCATCATGGCATATAAAGCAGCACATTTGGCCTTTAAGTCGCGCTGGCACAAGACAGATGAAGAACTCTGTCGGCACAGTATGTCCTTCGTTTTGCATACAGCAATCCGAAATGACTTCTTTCAGAGTTACCTTTATCTGCTGGAAAAGCTTCCTCTGGGTGAGTAACTGGTGGGCAGGAGCGTCTGTGTGCATGTGTGACCGTGCTCTGGAAAGACATACCATGTTAGATGGTAGAGTACAGACACCTTAATGACAGTAAGTGGTAGTTTTGAGAAGCCCAGCTAGAGAGAATACAGTGCTAGCTAAACCATTCGGTACTCTCTCTCAACTCCTTCTAATTCAGTACTCTGTTTTTTTACCTAAATACTCCACAGATTGTTAAAGGGGAACAAGGGAAAGACCACAAGAGTGGAAGAAAGTTTGGTTTCTGGCTGATGGTTCCCTTTTTTGGCACCGTTTAAAACATGCGTTGACCTGTTAGGAACTTGGAAGGACAAATGCAAAACTAGGAGAGCTGACAGGCCTTACTTTCTGTTGCCTGATAGCTGTTTTGTTGTCATTCAGTGTGTCCTTAGCCTTGTCATTTGTATTGTTTTGGACAAGTGCTTGAAAGTTAACGATTTTTAAATTTTTTTCCAAGAGTCTTTGTAATCCAGATCTCTGCAGCATGCTGCCTAACCTACTGTTTGTTATCTGGGAGGAAAATGCTTCCAGAATGTTTGTTTATAGCCAATTTTCACTGAAAGCCTCTGGTACAGGATGCCAAGACATTTTTTTTAGATGCAGAAAATTAATGTTCATTTCTTATGAAAATTTGACCCTGAATAAGACACAAAATTTCCCCAGGACAATATAGCTAAAAAAGTAGATTTGACTCGAGTCTGTATTAGTTAGCATGTCACTTTTTAAGCAGAATTATTCAGCCTCCACTCAGTGTTAGAATTGGAGGAATTTAAGATGGAAAGTATGTGTCTGTGCAACCTGTTAAACAGCTGTTCACAGTGAATTCTTGAGGGCTTTTTCCTCATTGAAAGATCCATTTAGGCAAGTGGATTATCTTACCTGATTGTGTGAAACTATACAGACCCCAGTGAGAACTCCACTCAAGGTGGTAGAATTCATGAGCCCTGTAAGAGAAAAAGCATTTCCATGTTATGGTAGTATTTTGATGTGGGTCTTCAAATGCAGCAATATCTGCAACTATTTAAAATGAAACATGAAAGATAAGTACTTCTATCCCTAGTGGTAGGTAGCTGTGAACGATATAAAGGAAGGAAAGATGGAAAGGAAGGAAAGTCATTTATAGGTCAATGGAATCTCAAGAAGTCTATGAAAATGTTATTCTTTCATATGTTTTGAAAATAAACACAACATACTAGAAACTTGAGCAGGATTTTCTACAGTGTTAACTGTTAGTGTAAGTACTAATAGATCATTTTAAGGCTAGAAGGTACCATTATGAACACCTAGCTTAGAATTTTATGTAAAAGTTCCTGCATCGTGCTTGTAACTTATGACTGGGTCACATTATATATTTATTAAGACAAAATACCTTGGTTTAAGAACTGCAAATGACTGAGAATCCATCACTCCATCATTAAGCTGTTTCCAGGCCTAATTGCTTCACTCTTGTAAAAATATATTTTATTTCTTTTCTGGATTTTATATGAATTTCCATCCCCAGCCAACAAGGTTTGTAAAATGTTCCTATCAGCCTAAAGATCCCCTCTGCCAGGCTTTTCATGACCTGAATCATTAAAACTTCACTAAAGAGCTTACAAGCTTATTGCCAGCCTATCCAAATTAGTTTGACTCCATGCAGAAGGTACTGTGAGTCCAAATTTCATGTGAACATGCAGTACGTCTGTTCCTCCGTGGTTATTGCCATGAAGTAAAAGTGTGCATAAGGACGGGTACTGTGGGGTGGCTCGTGCACTGTGAATACAGATCCAAGAAACTTCACAGCATGCTAGGATGTCATGGTCTGGATGGATGGACAATCAGATGGGTAAAAAGTGGTTGGGTGATTGGACTCAGAAAGTCGTGGTCAAATCTCGAGGTCAGTGGAATACCACAAGGGTCGGTCCCGGGACCTGTCCTGTTTAACATCTTTATCGATAACTTGGAGGAGGAGAAGGACTGCTTTTTCATCACATTTGCAGATTGTGGCCAACTGGCAAGACTTTTCCACAAGTTCTGGGTCAGGACTGCCGTCCAGAGGCATCTAAATAGTCTGGAGGAAGGGGACAGTGGGAACCTAGTGAAATTCAAATTCACTGAAATTCAAAAGCAAATGCCAAGTCCTGAACCTGCCTTTGGCAACAGCAATATGGGCTGGGTAGTAGCTGGCTGGGGAGCTGATAGGGTTTTGGTAGACAGCAACTGAACATGAACCAGAAATGTGTCCTGGCAGCAAAGGCAGCCAACAGTATCCTGGGCTGTATTAACAAAAGCATAGCTAGTTGATTGAGGGAAGTAATGATCCCCTTTTATGCAGCAGTCATTAGACCATACACATGGAGTCTTGAACTCCCAATGCAGAAAATGACATGGAGTGCGTTGGATGGCCTCCAAGGTGGTGAGGGAACTGGAGCGCATGCCTTGTGAAGAGAGACTAAGGGAGTGGGGCATGTTCAGCCAGAAGAGACCACTTCACATAGGCCAAATATTCGCTTGCCAGCACCTACAAGAAGATCATGAAGAAGATGAAGCTGAGCTCTGCACGGTGGTGTGAGGCAGGAGGACAAGAAACAGTGGCCGTAAATGGAAACAAAAGAAGTTCAAACTGCCTATAAGGAAAAACTATTTCCCTGCGAGGACAGTCAGGCATTGGAACAAGTTGTCCAGTAAGGTTGTACAATTCTTCATCACTGGAGGCTTTCAAAACCTAGCTGAATAAAGTCCCAATGAACCTCATCTGACCTCATGTCTGTCCCTGCTTTGAGTGGAAGTTTGGACTAGAGACCTCGTTAAGTCCCTTCCAACCTGGATGCAGTGTGCTCTGTGATGGAGAGGACAGAATGTGGCGGGTCTGAACATCTCTGCAGAGTGACATTTTCCAGTTCAGTTCAGAGTGGAACTGAGCAGAAATTAACGGAACTTCTTAGGCTTCAAGACTAGATCCAGATATCTCTGTGTAAACAGTATTAAACGACTAAAGCAACACTAAGACTGTGATCTAGCAGGGTAGTTAAGCGTGTGCTTAACCCTAAGCATGAATAATGACACTGAAATCAAGCCTCACATTGAAACTTGCAGTGCAGCCCAGGGTCAGCAAGGTAGAAAGTTTGCTTCAAGCTATGCTAACTCCACACTCCCCCCACTCCGTTGCCAGGTTGAGTGGTAGAGCACTTATGCATGTTTACCTACGAGCTGAGCGTATCTGCTATCACAGCCTGTTAAGAGAAACATGTCACTTTTACAGACCAGGGTAACATTTATAAATAAAAGACATGAGTAACTTTAGGCCCTGATCCAACAATGTACTTAAATGTGTGTGAATGCCCTTAAGCCCAGTGGACTTTAATGGAGCTATTCAGATGCTGGAAATTATGCATGTGTTTACATGGGCTGTGGGACTCGGTGCCAGTGGGGTGAGATCTGCAGTGGAAAGCTCAGATGATCGGTCCATAGAGACAAATATTCCTGTGTGTGAGGCACATGTCTGTAAGTAAAATCTGCTTTGGGGGTGGGCTGATGTTCATCCTCTATAAAACAGAACTTAAATGGTTCTTGGACCACAGCAGAGAGGTGAATTCTACCCTGCACCCAGATAGATAACTATTTTTCAACTGATGCACAAAGCAGATGTTGCATTTAAAAGGGAATACTCAGCCAAACTGGAATTAGTTCAATATCTTGCAGAAAGCAGTTGGAGCCACGAAATAATGTTCACAAATAAAAACTTCAAAAAAATTACTTGCAACATTTACTTCTGCCAGGGAAATTTAGCTGAGTAAACCCTGCAACCAAGGACTGTAAGACAGTCTACTGCAGGCTGGGATCGCACCCAGTCTTACGCATTAAATGGTCCATTTCTCTTGAGATTTAGATTATAGGCACTGGGAAACAAAATTTTGAACTGAAAATATTAAGAGATAATGTTTCGGACTTTGCAGGTCAAAAGGGCTTAGGTAGATACTCTCTGTCTAGTCCAGGTGTTGGCGTTCAGCTGTAGGTCACCACTCTGCATCCCAACGGTGTTAGCAGCAACTGAAAATTATTAACATCCCATGTTTGTGGAGTGACCTTTAGGGAGCCAGTTCCTGTTCTCATCCTGCTTTTGGAGTGAATTTGCTTTAGCCATCTCTACTTCGGGGACTTGCCAGCCAATTCAGCTGAGAGACCAAGTATGCCATGAAAAAAGTTTCTTCTTACTTTACTGGAAACACATTTCTAACCTTAAACCTTACAAGTCACCTGTCTTAATACTGAAAACCTTGTCTGTGAAAGACAGCTACTCCCCCCGCCCCAATCGCTGAGAGACTTGCAGCCTCCATCATCCTATCCTGCCCATGCCCTACTTTACAAAGTTCATTGAAATCGGGCTGTGTATCTGTAACAGACCTCACAAGTATTTCATTTCCTGATGCATGAGATAGTCCCACATGGGTCATGGAAAGGGAGATGCCTCTGGCAAGACAAGCCCTGTGATGAGGGGGAGGCGTGCAGAGCTCAACATAACAAGGACATGTGTGCCTCCTCACACTTTGGGGTAGATTCCCGCAAGCTGGCAAGCCTCCCTCTCCCTCTGGTCCTGCTGCTGGAGCCTGCATGCCAGGCACAGCTGCAAGGCAGATCAGAGGTGAGGTTGATTGGCTGTGTCTGGAAAATTGGGTTGTGGATCGGGAGAGTTGGCAGTGTTGCAAATTCGTGAGGGAGGAGTAACACTGAGGGAGCAAGAGGCGGAAATAATCTGTACGGGTTGCACGCTGCATGAGTGAGACTCTGTGGGTCCGCAGGAGAAGACTTCAGGTACAGTGCCACCCTTTACACTAGCCAGTGTCTTTGCATGCCCTCAGGTGGAGGACTTTCAGAAAAACATCTTTGCAAAGTTTGATAGGTAGAGAAAACTCTATGGATGCTGAGGCCAGAGCTGGTTTCAGATGCCAGCACGTAAGGCAGGGCTCTGGGGCCCCAGCTGGCCCAGGAGGAGCCCAGTCAGCTGGTCTATGCATGCAAGTCCCGGCAGGCATTCTGCAACCCTGATACTGGTTCTGAGTGAGAAATCTGAGAGCACACACTACAGATCTGATACTCTGAACAGCGTATCGTCCCCACACATTACAGATCTGATACTCTGAACAGCATATCGTCCCCATGTATTGTCTCAGGTCAGGTTCATATTTTGAGTAGAAGGACTCTGAATATTTGTTGTTCATGCTGCCAGCTGCCTGCAGCACCTTGTCCTAGTGTACAGACAGGCTGTAAATGCCTTTCCCTTCAATCTAGCAGAATGGCATAAATCACTGTCCCTTGATAGGTCTTCTAAACAAGCCCTAGAAATCATCACTGAACTCTTAAACAGAAGATCTTGCAAAGCTAACATGCAGGGATTCAGTTCTGCTCACCAGACAGGCTGGCATCTGAAATGGAGAAAAAAGAGACACAGAGAAAACAAGATGGTGCCACTCCTGGGAGAAGATGGAGATCATTTACTGAAGGAATCACAGCCACTGATGGAGTCTTTTTCCCAGGCTCTGGGAGCCACCCTGGCCAAGCTGTGCTGGGGATTGGTTGCTGCCCTCTTCGTATTAATTTTTTCAGCTAAATGGTTTCTTCTGAGTATGTGAATATAATCAGTGGAGTGTGTAAAACTCCCAGGTTTGACCCTTGCTGGGCTCAGTGCTTCTTGTGGTATAAATTTCTCAGGCATAACATAAATGTGTAATGGATTAAAGCTTTAATAGTATCCGTTCGGCAGTTGACTTAAGCAGGTGATGACAGGAGGGGCTGGTAATGCTGCTTTTGTTGGATGAAGGATATGCCGGGCATGCTGCTTATGTGTAACCCAATAGCACTATTCTGTTCCGAGTGGTCCTTGGTGGTAATTATTCCCCATCCTACTTCCTTTGTCCCCCCCTCATTTGCCTCCAAAATGTCATTCTCCTGCTGAGGATGGGCAGGCACACACTTATCATTCCCTGCTGAGCTTGCTTGCCCTCAATAAATACATTCCAGGCTTATATTCAGGGCCTCTGGGCCTAGCTCTCATCCTCTGTGTGGAGGGCGTAATTCCTGTTCCCCGGCCAGCGTAAGCAAGGCATGGCCTGCTCAGACCTTTCTCAGCAGTGACCGGCAGTGCTCCCGTGGAAGTTTATAGATGCAGCGACAAAGCACTTCTCCCTGGTCCTTCTGTATACACAGCCAGCAGGGAGCTCTCCCTTTCTGTTGTTATTAACCCAAAAGGTGTTTGCTGCTGGATCATATCCAGTTCCTCGAGCATGCTGGGAATCTGCAGCAGAGCTGGTCTCACACTGCAAGGTGGTGCTCGCAAAAACTTGTTCCCAGTGTGACTCCATCCCTCCTTATTGCTTAACTTTCATAGACAGGCTTGTAGTTGTGTTTTCGTTGGAAGGTCTGGCTGGGAGTAGCTGTGTGTCGTACACACGGGAAAATGCCTGGACACCTGTACATGTGCATGAGATAGTAAGAGGTTCTAGTTTCCGAGCAAACTGTCTGCAGCCTGCCTCAATCCAAACTTCTGAGCTGCAAAACAGAACTACTTTTGATATACTGATGCACGTCAAGTATAGGAAAACCCAGGATGTGGAGGATAGAGCTCAGTTTTTTAAAGAATAGGGGAAAATAGCCCTTTACCCAGCAAAGCTCACAGGTTTTAATAAAACAGCTTCAAACTTATGATTGCTGTGTATTACCAGCAAAATAACCAAGCAATGAAAAGAAACATCCAAGCCGCTGGCACACAAGAACTTTCCAGTATATCACCCCCTGATTATCTCGCTCCTTAATCTGTGACACATGAAAATTTAGGACTGCCTCTTCTAAATTGTCTCCCCCCTCACCCCTCCTCCCCGTATACTCATTTAGGCCTGAGACTACCATCTGCTCTTTGGTTCAGCTTACTTGCAGTGCCACAGGCTGTACAGTATCACTAAAAATAAACCAGAGCAAGTGCCTCATTCATCCACTCTCTTCTTGGTGCACTTTCTGTGCAGCTGTCAATGGCTAGAAAGCATATATGGAAGTCTGCAGAACACTTAGGTTTGTGATAGTGGAAATTATGACCCTGCATAGCTATTGATCCCACCCACAGCTTTTCTGGGAGCAAATCAAACCCCTTGCTCTCTTTGGCATGCATGTTCACTTCAAACTTGAAATGATTTTTTGCTGACGTGAAAACATAGTGGGATGACAAAAACAATGTCTGAGCCTGGGAGGCACTGAATTTGCCCAAGGGGGGCTGTGTCCCTTCAAGGTCTTGCAGGATTAAATCCAACAGCTTTCCTTGCACCTTTGCTTTAGAAACAGAGGTTTGGTGATTTGAAGGCTCAATGTAAGTTTATAGATCTTGGCCATTGTGCCTCCAGAGCAATAAACTAAACCAGAAATACTTGTCATTAACAATAAAATAGTGATTTATCTGCTTGCAGTGAAACTTTACGCTTTGACAAGTCAAGTTATCAATGGGGAGATGCAGTTCTACGCCAGGGCCAAACACTTCTACCGGGAGGTGCCAGCCACAGAAGAGGGCATGATGGGAGACTACATTGAGCTCTCCAATACAGACATTGAATCCTCCAGGGAGTTTCTCAGGAAGTTTGTTGGGGTGAGTCATTTAATCCCATCTTCTGTGAGCAGCAGTGATGATGTGTCATAAATGACATGCACTGTGCCCAGTCACATATATTTTAGATGGCACCATATGTCATATTTGATATGCAGACACAGGTTATAACTGTCTGTCATTGGGTCTAGCAATGTATTCTGCCAGGTCATGCATCATCATGAATACATATACAAAATAAAATTTTGCCTGGCCCTATGTCATTATTTACCTGTTTTGCATCCTTTTCTTATGCTCCAAAGCTTCAGAGAAGATTGTGCAAGTTCTTATAGCTGTGTTTGGGTGGGAGGTTAATTCTCGGTGCAGGACTGGGACCTTTCATGATAAAATCCTTTCTGGCTTCAGTGGGAGATTTGTCTGTGCAAATTCCTGCAGTCCATTTGGGAAAGTAGCTGATGCTACTAAATGCCAAGTTTCTGTTTTGCCTATTTATAGATATTTCTGAGAATGCTGCAACAAAACCCAGCCCTCCCCGCATGCCATCCCCCCAAACATTAGGAGTATATAGAATAAGCTACCCATGAGGAAAAATATTTTTTTCTTGAACATTCCAGTGTCACTGGGACCTTTACAGGCAGTTTTCTAAAGGTCTGTAAACATCTTCAAAGGTCTATTTTGACCTGAGATGCAAAGAGATACCAGGTGGGATTTTAAAAGCACCTACAATAGCAGTATCACTTTGGCACGTAGGTTTCTGAAAATCCTGTTGATGCCTGAATGTGTCTTTGGGAATCTGCAAATGTTTAAAAGTGTGGCCTGATGGTTTTCTGACTGCCCTTCCCTCTTCCCAGGGGAAAAGCCCACTAAATTAGCTCAACAACAGTATTAGATGCTAAAGAATCCACAGAGCTACAGGAAACCAAATATTGTAAGTTCTCCTGCTCACAAAATTACTGGTTCTATATAATGCTACCATAGATCTTTCATTTTCTCCTCAAATGTACAAATTTGGGATAGCCAGATGACCTTTTTTTAGTCTTAATGATCTACTGTGGAAAAAAAGCTCAATAGGTTAATTAGATGTTGTATATAAAATAGGGCACAGTTTAAATGGATTGGGATGGAAAATGAGTGTGGCTTAACAACAGAGAGAAATCCTGTATAGCAGTGAAGGGCAACTGGTGGCAAAGTTTGCTGTACATGATAGAGGGAGCCTTTGGGGGCTAGTGAGCCAGCAAAACACAAGCTCAAGGTGTATTCCTTAAATTTTACTTAAGTCTTTTTTTAAGGACATTTGTGGAATTTAAGTGGTGCAATGAGCGTGTACTCAGAGAAAGATCTCACGCTTTCTAGACATCATATAGATTCAGTTCCCTGAACGGCAGGTTTATATCACACTGTTACGCTTTCTCATCTCCAAGACCCGAAAAGGAAAGAAGTACAGTCTGTAGCAGTTTCACATGCCAAAGAGAAATCATAGCCAATGCATCAGGTGTGATGACAGATACAAAATACTCCAGAGCAGAGTTCCTACTCCTATTATTAGCCAGGGATAGAAAGGATACTCTGAATGGCCACGATCAAACAAGGAAAAAAAAAAAAGGAACAGAAAGGAATCTGCACATTTTTCTAGTTCTGATTTAGTTTGTTAAAGCCTGTCCTCTGTTGAGATACAGTCAATTGGTTATGTTACTTATGGTTTATTTTCCTTTCTTACTACTGCAATTTGAATCCTACTCGACCAGATAAAGATATTTACTGGCTTTCTGTAGTAGTGACTTTGTTGTAAAGCGAATTTGAGTTATGCCTTCCCAAGTTTACGGCTCAATGAATATTTTCTTTTCCAATAAGATAATCAAGATAGAAAGAAGCAATTTGTTTCACTCTAATATAAACTAGACTTTCTTTTTTAAAAAGTAGTTTAACAAAATCAGAAAATAGGGAAATTAGTTTCAGATCAACTTATTTAAATTTTTGTATTGTTTTACCCTCAGAAAAACTTTTCTCCTTGTTTTCAAGACATAAGTCAGTTCCAAAATGAAAAATGAAAAACTGACAAGTTTTTTTTTTCCTTGAAAGTTGTGAAGAAGAAGTATCTTGACATTTTCAACATTCTTTCCCATGTTTTTTGGCTATAACTATTCTCTAGCTTTGAAATATCAATTTCACAGAGAGTTTTATTCTTCCAAAACTTTATTTTCTGGCAAAACTAGTGCTCCTTAAAAAACAGTTGCCCAGTTCCACTCAAATTACCCCTCTTGAGTGAGTTTGGCTGGTGTGGAAATGCCACACAATGACATTTCCCTTACATGACTGATGTTGCATACCTTCATGTATGGCATTTCTTAGCATGATTCTTAACACCACTGTAAACTGAGCTACAGATTTCTTTGCCATTGGAGAATTTATCTTGCCTGGGCACATGGAAGGAATTACAGAAAGGGCTAAGGACTTCACCTACATTGTAGCCTGTCTCCTTCCCAGGCGAGTCAAACTGAGTTAAAAGTGCCACTGTGCTCAAGTTAAGAGGTTTTATGTGTGTGTGGGCAGAACTCAAACCAAGAGCAACATTACTTGAGCCAACAGTGCTGTACAGACAAGCTATAGGCTGTCTTAGGTACAGTCACACTTGAAGGGTTATCAGCTGAGCTATAGCACTGCCTACTTATGGCAATGTATTAAGGCCAGTTAAAGCCTTGATGTCCACATAGACACTGTGTTTCCAAGTGCCTAATCTGGAGGTAATGTGTGAAAAAGGAAATTAAAAAAACCAAATAAACCATTAATTCAGGAACAGTTGTGAGCTATAGGTGTGTGAAATAATACAGACAGAGATTATATTAACTTTATAGCTCCCTTTCTGCCCTAAACCCTTTCTCCCTTTCTTGCCCTCAGTTCACCTGCCTGATTGGTTACTTGTTGACTGAAAAGCTTCTTGAAAGTGATTTTATCTTTTTTGATCAGAGGGATGGAAGAGATGATGTTGAAAACCTGATATTTTTTTTTAATTTAGAAAGAAAATCACTGTGATTTTTATCTATTTCTTGAATTCCAATTTCTTTTTTATCCTACATATCTACACTGCCTTTGTGCCCTTCCAAGACCTGAAGTAGCATCAGGAACATATTCCACAGCTCTTTTACCCCTAAGGAAGTTTGTGAGTGCCCTATCTAGCTTTACAGAAGAATTTTTGGGTGTGCGTGTGTCCTAAATGATAGTGATTCTGAGTAATGGGAAGCAGGTAATCAGAGGAGCGGTCAATCTTAAATTTTGAAGCCTGTTCTGGCTTAAAATTTTTCACTTATACTATTTTTTAAAATAAGGAGTCTGATTTTCAACTCAATTAGGCTTTTGGGAAAATGATTGCCTTCCAAAGAAAATGTTAATACCTTGTCAAAGCTCTGAGCACTTCCAACCTGAAAATATATTAGCTGAACATGGAATTATGTCAACATTTTCATTGCAAATGGAGCCATGGTGCTTCACAGGGCTTCTCAACTGACTGCCTGATGCTCTTGCTCCCTTTCAGCGAAGTGTGGGATCAAGCTTCATCTCCCATGATTGTTCCCTTTCCTTCTTCTCAATGGCAAATGGAGATGTGTCATCAGAGGTCCTTGCCGTGACGCATCATGGGAGATGAATTCCCTGTTTCGAGTGAGGTACTGTGACTGTAGGTTCTATGAAACACAAATGTCAAAGTTGTTAAATGGCTTTTTGTCAAGTTCTGTTAGTTGTTTTGGTAAATCATCCCAGTTTTCTCACCAGCTTTCTCAAAGATTTTTACTTAATCACATCATTGTAGGCCTGTATGTATCTGCCAGCAAACAGTATGGAAACCCACCTTGTAAAGATCCAAGGCACAGTTCCATCTCCATTCATGAGCTCCTTGTTACAGCTTAGTCTGGTCCTCAGTAAAAGCCACATGCTCCTAAGCATAGCCTGTGAATGAAGAATGGCTCACATTTTCTGTCTAACTACAAACAGGTAGTCTCCAGAGTCCAATAGGGTTGAAGGCTTGTGGACTCTTGCACACATCAGGAGATTAATCTTCCTAGGTATACAAATTGGGACCAGCAGCCCTGGAGACTGGTGAGAGCCTTTAAGGTCCTTGTGCTCTTTCTACAGTTACTCTATGTAACCAGATGCTCAGCTGGGCTATTCATAGTCATGTCATTGACAGTACTGTCCTTTGACCTTAATAATCTACTGAATTACCCACTGAAACAAGGCCAAAAAAGCAGTGAGTTACATGATTTATGTTTGGTCATTACAGAGAGGGTCTCCCGATAAGCAAGAAGAGCAAGACTTTTCCTGGGCTTATTTCCTTTAAGAGCAGTGAAGCTGCAGCAGGGACTTTGGCCCATAGCTTTCACTTCAACACTCGGTTCCAGGGGACAGGGAAAAGGTGTTTACATTTGCTTTTAATATATTTGTTTAACAGATAATTTTGGCCAGGGGAGCTCCAATCCCACAGTTAGTGCATGTACAGTCTTAAAATTTCTGTTTTACGGAACAGCAGCAAGCTCTTAAGAGCCTTTTTATAGCTAGAATGGAAGCTTTAGGGGTGAAATACAGCTTTCATTATAAAGCTCCTTTTACAGTGACTCATTATTTTCTTATAGACATAGCCTTTGTGCAACATTTCTTCATGTCTGATCTCTGTCCAAATATGATATTTATGAAGAAAAAAGGAACAGTTAACCAAAATCTACTCAATCATCTTTCTTGTTTCTATGCCTAAAAAAGAAATTCTCTGTATGCTCCAGTCCAAACGTTTTGAGTTTTCGTAAGTTACCTACAACTCCAAGATCTTCATTCAAACACAGCTTGTTTTGAAAACTGCACTCTGATCCCAAGGGTGCTGTGTACCTGCAGAGATGTCCATGGGCACCTTGGGAGTTCTGTGCTGCAGAAGTTACTTCTTGCATGCAGTATTCGGTATATGCTTACTTTTTTGTTAGGCCTCTACAGGCCTCAGAATGAGGCTTATCTAGCTATGTAGTTGGCTGGGAGGTATTTGGCAGATGAAGTTGCAAGGACTTTACAAAGACCAGTGGATCTTCTGAGAAAGCTAGGAGCTTGTGAAAGATCATGTCTCTTCTTATACCAAGCGAAAACTTACTATATAGCAACAAATGCAAGGCTGCAGTGAGGAAGTCCCTCAGCAGCAACCTAGGAACATAGCAGGCCAGCTCAGCTCACACATTAACTACCCAAAGCTGTACTGATACTGTCCCAGGTTTTTAACAATCTTGCAACAGCCCTGCACAAATAAGGAGACAAGACACTAGGCTTGGTGGACTAAAGGCCATAGAGGGTAACACGGTTGCTATGATCTTTCAGGTGGTATTTTTCAGATTTCAAATTATTTTCTTGTATCCCACAGGGGGTGGGGAAAGCTGGCACCAACCGCGCCCTGGACTGCGGCTCTGGGATAGGTCGTATCAGCAAGCATGTCCTGTTACCAGTTTTCAAGAGCGTGGAACTGGTGGATATGATGGAGAATTTCCTGGCTGAGGTCCCGAACTACCTGCAGGGCAAGGAGGACAGAGTAGAGATGTATTATTGCAAAAGCCTCCAGGAATTCACTCCAGCCCCACAAAGATATGATGTCATCTGGATTCAGTGGGTTTCAGGTTAGTGCAGCATGATTAATCCAGCCCAGCATCTCAGAGAACTATACAGCCTGTGCTAAAGTTTATGTTAAAAGAACGGTGCAGCTGTAAAAGGAGCTTCTCAAATCTTTGGGACTGCTTCCTAAAATCTCACAAGAGACTTCTGAGACTTCTCACCAGCCACATGCACAGTGGGTACAAATCAAGTTGGGTTTTTTCTGATCACGTACTGGGGAAAGGTACATGGTCTTGAAGAGTAGCCTGCATGCTAAGGTGCAGCTGAGGAGTAGGCCTTACATACGGGCTTACTTGAGCAGGAATCCTCCTTAGTTGCCAGTGCTGCAGACAGATACAGAGGGTTCGCCTCACCTGTGAGCAGGGATTTCTGAATCTGATGATTATCCAGACTTGGGGGTATTTCAGGAAACATTCTAAAAAAAAGCTGTAGTGAAATTACCAATTCCTATAAACCAGATCATGCCTTATACATGCACTGATGCTTATCAAACAGGTTCACTTAGATATGTCCCACAGTACCCCCCCCATATAAGAAATATCTGCTGCTTCTTGTGCAGACACCCCAGTGAACGCCCTGCAGCATTAAGAGCAGCAGATGGGTGATAGATAATGTGGGCTACATTACTCACAAAAAAAAAAAAGTTCTTAATTTTTTCTAGAAGATCTGCTGCAGGGCCTAACTGTCCTTCCAGAAAGAAGGTTTTCTCCTAATCTGTGAACCTAAGTGTCCATAGTGCAGTTTCAGCTGACAGAAGTCATTATTCTAAAGCACAAGAGGAGGCCTGAACAACTGCTTCTCTCCAAAACCCTGGAGATGATAGTTTCTTGCTAGGCAAAAAGACAGATAAAGGTAGAGAGATTAGCACAGGAGATGGTTTTATTCAGGAACACCTATTTGTCCTCTACACATAGTCTTAAAAAGTAATGAAATTGAGCTTCTTAGAACAGGTCTTTATAGCTGTATGAGCATATTGCTTCAGAACAGTATCATTTTCCTTTGTATTTTTACTTTCTTGAACAATCAGTCATTGCAGTAAATGTAGCTCCTGCCTCATCTTTTGAGCAAATCCAAGTCAACATGAACTCTAAATAGAGTTGTAGGCTGTGGTGATCAGCTATGTGGCTGCCTTTTCTTCAGCATAGACACAAATCTCAATCTCCTTCCTCCATCAATTTCAATGAAATATGTAGTGATCTTAAATATTAATCAAACTTCTAACCCCTGTCTTGAATTTGGCTGAAATATGCCAACAAGCTCAATGCTTTTTGGTGGAGCAAGAACAGGACTGTCTGGTAGAGAGCAACACTATCAAGATCTCATTTTCTTAGGAAACTAGGCTAAAAGGTAAGTTAAGAGAACACTAAGTTCCAAATTAGGTGTTTAAAAGCTTAGATGAATCTTGCCGATGCAATCTTGAATTGTCTTATGTATGCATAAGTATATGAGCTCAGGCTGTTATTTTATGAAAAAATAAAAATGCAAGTTTACATTTAATATAGAAAATACCATTTTTCCTTCAACTTGAAGGTATTCAGCTTTAGGCTTTGGTGCTTTTTTTCTTCTTCCTTTTTTTGAGGGGGTGGTTAAAGAAACCTGACATGCTATGTCAAAATGTGGTTTTGAAATGACAATTTCTATTGAGAAAAGTTTAAATCTTCCATCTAGAAAATGAAATATTTTTACTAGAAAATACAAGCTATTATTTTTTTTCAAGTTATTCATTCAGTTTGTGACCACCTGTCCTTGTTAATCCATTTTTGATATTTCACATACGAGAGTTCTCATTTTGCTCTTCTCTGAGCCATGCACTACTGATCTCAACATAACAGAAGTATTGATCTTTGAGCAGGAAGGATAAAAAACACAATTTCAACAATATATTGGAAAAAAGTACTATTTTAAAATGTATATGATATATGCAGAAATCACAACAGTATGGGGTAATATAAAGAGTTTATTTGGCATTTTGGAAGGTCTTGCATTCCTCACTGGATCTTTGATCCAGAACTCCTTTGGTGAGTACATAATGTTACATGAAGCTGTAGAGATTTATAGCATTAAAAAACAGAAGAGACTGTTAGATTATCTAGTTTGACCTACACTATATCACAAGATGTTATATTCATTCCTTTAGCCTTGTACTGAGCCAGTAGTTTGTGTTCAATTAAAACGTATCTTGAGAAATTCAACGCTTGATTTGAGGACTTCAAGAGGTGGTAAACACCACTTCTGTTGGTAGTTTCCAATGGATAATTACTTACACTGTTAAACAGTTGTCACTTATTTCCAATATGAATTTGTTTGGCTCCAGCTTCCTGCCACTGATTCTTATTATGACTTTAACCACCAGATTAAAGAACCCTTCAGCACCCAGTATTTTCTCCATTATTCCCATTGACTTCTGTCCACATCTGTTGCTACTACTAATATGGATCCTAAATATTGATTTGAGTTTGTAACCGTTGATCTCATTGATTTGCTCAAGATTTCATAATTAAATCTGTCAGGACTAGAACTTCTCCTGCAATAAATAGGGTGTGGAAACTCAGATCAAGGCGCCATTCTGATGTGTAAAGGGGGAGTCTGTTTGAATGGTTAATAGTGATCTACTTTCCATCTTTTCATCTGTAGGATATCTGACAGATAAAGATCTCCTGGAGTTTCTCATCCGGTGCCAGAATGGCTTGAAGGATAATGGTATTATCATTCTCAAGGACAATGTAGCCAGGGAGGGCTGTATCCTGGATTGTCTGGATAGTAGTGTGATCCGAGACCTGAACATCCTCCACAGCCTCATTGAAATGAGTGGACTCACCATTCTACGAGAGGAGAGGCAGGAGGGATTCCCTGAGCAGTGTGTCCCTGTCTGGATGTTGGCCATGCAGAAAGGCCCTGGCCATTCCTGATTGCATAGTGAGACTGCAGAGACTGGACTATGGAGGAACCGCAGGACTGGGAAGAAGAAAAGCATCTACTGGAATCCTCCTAACCATACACTGCTACTACTACAACTCTTGGGCAGCAACTCCTAAAGGATCAGGAGAGAATTACAATTGAGCCAGCTTCTCCAGGAAATAGTCTGCTTCTAAATCCTGCCTGCCTCATTGTTCTCTCCGTTTTTAAAAGCTGTTCTTTTGCTCCTTGTCAGATCTCTTTTTCGTTAAGGAGTCAATACTGGGCAAACCTCAACTAATAGAAAATAATAAGGTCTGAAGTTTTTGTAGTGGCTAATACATTTTGGAGTGTTCTGTATGAGGTGTTAACAAATAAGCCTGGCTTTTACTATGGCACTTAAGTCTTCTTGGAATTTAAGAAGGATCTGTCGGGTCACTGAAGCAGGAAATTCAGATAACTTCTGGAAAACCTAACCCAAATTTTTACTGTCATCACTAACTGTACTTGAAAATACTTAAACCAAAAATGCAAGGAAAGTTTTATCCATTTGTTGGCATCAGCTATGAAGTTTATTTATTTTTTTGCACTTCTGTCAGTATGGACAATAAGACAACCTGGTTAATTTTCCATTTTTAGGAGCTACTTTATCTTCCTGATGTTTCTGTCACAGAACAATAGTGGTGTGTAAGGCTTTCGCACTCCAGGGAAATACTTAGATGACAAATATATGCATGTTTGCGTTGAAATTTTGTGAAAAGATTGCCCCACAAATTACATTCTGGAAAATATTTTTTCAAAGTGTTCACAGTGGAAACCACTTGAAAGCTTCTCTTTATTATTCATACCACTGTAAATTTCTTTCTTTCCCACATTCAGAACAAGTCTGGCACCATATGCAGAGCTAATGGGATTTCATGGGGTGTTAATAGTAAGACTGTAAGAAGAGCTAATACAGTATTGTATTAATTAACAACTGTACTAAACTGCAGAGGGTGTTAGTGTAACCCAAAAGCATCTATGATTTATATTCAAACAGCAGCTGTATAAGCCTGGATTTGAAAATACTAACATACATACCATCTTCTTAAGGCTCACAGAAATTACACATTGAGTTTCTTGTCCTCTTTGTGTAGGCACAGAAAGTACAGTGGGAAGACAGAAGTTTGTTTTGCAAAATATTTGCGATTTGAAATTCTGCTTCATTCTGAATGAGGACAAGAAGGGATAATTTTGAAATTCTTTATGAAGGAAAACCACACAACCACAGACTTTTCCAAGTTGATTTGACTTTTTAAAGACTTGCATTTTGACAAATCTCCATCTTCTGGTGGAAAGGGGTTCTATAAAACATCTTCCACATGAGCGTAGGCACAATTGTCTGTGTCAAATATTGTCATCTGTATTAACTTAACTCACATAGAAGCCTAAAGATAACAAGATCAGGGAACCTCTCAACTGGATTTTAGTACACTTTGCCATCCTTTGATAACAAATCCAGTTTTGATTTTAATTGCATAACTCATCTTCTCTAGCAATATGGTTGCATATGTTGAGACTTTCCAATTTATGGCAGAGGGCTTCCTGACATCAAATCTTATTGAATAATTGTTCTCTTAATGTGCCATCACTAATTGTAGCATTAAGGAAAACAACCCTGGTGATTTGGTGAATATTCTGGCGTGTCATATATCCTAGAAACCTATGGTTCCCATGACACAGATGCTTCTGGAATGTTTTGGCTAATTCTTCCATTCTAATCAACTGGTAATGGGCATAAATTTAGTATTGTTAAAAACCTTAGGTGAACACTTACAGTCTGGAATTGTCCCCAGAACTAAGTGCTTCAAATTCCCTTTAAGCCACTACTATGCTTTCATTCTGCCGAGGCTCCTAAAAGCTGGTGTGGTCTTTGCATGCATATGAGTACATGCAGATATCTGAAGGAAACCCAGTCATTTGTTTTACAGGAAGGAGGCATAAGTCCTGTAGTTAGTAACACTGGTTAGCAGTAACAGGAGAGTATTTAAAAGGCCTTTACGTAGATTACAAATTAATTTCCCCTTCACCATTTTTTTTTTCCAGCCAGAGACCTCTGCCATGGTGCAGAATACTTGGGGACCACTGGAGATCCTAGTACAATTGTGTCTGTGCCAGGCATATCTGAATGGTGTTGGTCACTACAATGGTGAGAAAACGGCATTGTGGAAATAGGAAAGTAAACAATTGTATACAAATCTAAACAGCTGCCACATCTTGCAGGGCAGAATATATCAGCTGTTCACTTACACACCAGAGTGGGTGCAGTTCAGTAATGAGAGGCGTGGTTCCAAGATGGATATAGAATGTAAAGTGGTTTAGGTTGAAAGGTAGACTATAAATGACTGGCACTGTTATCAGTGAAATACATTTTTCAAGGTAGAAATGTTCTTCCTGTATTTTGTACGTGTTTCCTATTTGAATTTCCAGAGTACGTATACATAAATGTATAATGAAAATTGGTTCCCTTAACTAAGTGAGAACAGAAACAAGTAAAAACTTAATTTGGTAGAAAAAAACATATTTCATGGTTCCCACATTCCTGGAAATTAATGTTTCATGGCTATGTTGCTTCCACAGTAAAATATTAAAGCTTTTCTGGTGACATAATGAACCTCAAGAATAAAGAAACACAAGCCCTCCAGGGGCTTAAATGCATGAGATTGCTGCAGGCTGAATAATATTTTGGTTTCCTCTTTTTCCAAGGTATATTTTAATTCCAGAACTCCCAGTCAACAGCCTAGGCCACTCTTAAATGTTCATGAATTTGGGTAAGGGCCATTCTTGGCTTAAAAGTTCAGGGCTCTCTGGACTTTACCATAGTATATAATAATAATAATGAATCACAAATTTCAAACAGAAGTTCTTGCTTACAAATCATCTATGTGTCAGTTGCTCTTTAGTGTTCAAAGACTGGATAATCAACTCAGTTGCTCTGCCTCAAATTTCAAGTTATTTAAACATGCATTTAAACAAGTCTTTAGCTCATCAGATTGCAATGGGAGTTTGAATCCCATTTGTTTGGTGCTAATTTAAGACTTGTTCCCAATCTCAACGTTACCAGAAATTTAATCCAAGATCAAGACTTTGTCTGAGGCAAGGTTCACAGAACATTCAGGGTCCTTCAAGCTCAAGCCCTCATTCTCCACAGACAGGTAATGAGTTAAATACCCACTCAGTCCTTCCATCAGATGTTTCTGCCAGGCAACCACTATTCAAGTAAACACTTAGCCAAAGTGCAGTAAAGCCAATTTCTGCCATGTCACCTCCAAAGCTCTTGGTAATGCTTGGATTCCCCGTATCAGGTCCAGTGCTTCTATTCTGTGTGACTGAAGGCCAAATATTATCTTTATTATACGAATGTAAAGTTCCTTGCAAAAGAGATCCTCAAGCCATGACAGTAGCCCCCAAATGCTACTGCAACCCAAGCAAAATGTAAGGAAGCAATTATTACAGCATTCTGAACAGTGATCCCAACTGTGCAGCTCCAGCAACCATCAAAGCTCAAGCTGTTCATGTTCTGAAGGCAACTCAGACATTACAAATGTCCTTTCATTCCTAATTGGAAGAGAGAGCCATCATTTTGAAACATATTGCCGAGTGGATGTTCTAAAATATTTTGTTTCAGAAATACTGAAATGATCATATCAAATATTTTTAGTTTGACTTTCTTGTTTGGATGTTTATATAACCTAGTCTAAACTGACATGTTATGTGAGATGATAATATAATATATTTTATAGTATTGTAATAGTTACAGTGAAACATTAGTTTCCTACAGAATACTCTAATAAAATCAGTACATTCCCTGCCCCCAGATTTAGTGAAAAAGTCAGCAATTTCCAGAGGAGACAGTCATTCAAGAGTAACAGTCCTGTCAAGAAATATTTGCCCAAGCTCTTTTTCTCCAGACGTATCCCATCCATTCAGGCAGCTTGCAGTGTGCCTAGTCTAGGGAGCAGCCACTTTGGGCTCTTTGACAGGCAAGAAGAAGGAACTGGTACCTCCAGAGCAATTCAGACCACATCAGAGCTGAACTGGCTTGAAATAAGAGAATCTTCCCTCTCCCTGGTGGTTGTACAGTGAGAATGAAAGTGCATCCTTGTTATAACCAATTCAGCATCTTCATTGTTAATGTCAAACAGAAGTGCAACGTCATCTGAGGAGCTGTGACTGTCAAAATCAGCAAAAGGCATGGACTTGGATAACCAAACACCCATTAAAAATCAAAGTCATGGTACCGGGGCACTACATTAATGGGAGCAATATATCACTGCATAATGCCAACTGGCAAAAGCTTTGCCGGTTACTCCACTGGCTGCCCTGAGTACCTCTATGCCATTCACTTGTTTTTTCCATTCTCTTAATCCAGGCTCCCCAGAGTGTTTACAATGGCATATCAGGCAGTAGACCTGTCCAGAGGAACTTGACTGTTATGTGTGATTAAAACCAGTTGTGTTGCATCCCATCCCTCTTCTCCTCCTTTGATGCTTCTTCCAACTTGCCAAGAAAATCCCTCCTCCACTTGCCAAAAGTGATTTGTTCTCTGTGGACATCACCACATCTCACTGAAGTAAAACAGATTACCTTTGATTTTAAGAGGAGGTAATTCCGTTTATCTCAGAGCAATAACAACACGCTGTATTTCAAACATACAGGTTAATACCTGTCTCTTTCAATTGATGTGAAGTAGGCACTCCCAGACCTTTGTACCAAACAAAGCTCACGTTCTCATCATCACCATAAATAACAATATTTGTATGACACTATATATCCCTAGACCTTGAAGCATGCGTTATCATTGTGTTTGGGATAAGGAAACTGAGGCACAGAAAGGTGATCTAGGCCACATTACAGCTTTACCTAGGTGGTAGCTGTGAGTGATCAACACCTTCACAAATCAGGCCACTACAGGAACTACAGTGTTTTGCAGGCAGACATAAACTTATTCTGGTTATGCTTGGAGGAGATTGAAACAGCGTGGTTGTGGTTAGCCTGCTTATTAGGCCAACCTGGTATGTCCTGCAAAGAGAGGGCTCATGCTGAACATTGTGCTCATGAACATAAACAGCTTCTGTTCCTTTCAGAGCACTGGAAGAACAACCTGGTGTATGCCTGCCGCAAAAAAAAAAGACAGAAGATTGGTGGAAAGACTTTTCCCTGTTTCTCTCTTGCAAAAGTGTTGAATTCGCAGCCATTTCAACCTGTTGTGGTATTTTCAGGCTCCTGAGACTAAGGTTTTTAGAGGCATTTGAAGATGCAGAAGTCCTGTGAGTGCACTGTGGCTTAGCAGATACCTACTGGTGTCTTTTAATGCCTGTAAGTCTCTGAAGATTTGGCTTGTAGGAACCTAGCTTCAAACAAGACTACATTTTCAGAATTGTCTAAGAGACCATTTAAGTGCCTGTCGGTGGAGGTAGGCATCTAGAGGGATTTCTAAAGCATTTGGCCAATTCAAAGTTCAGCATCAGCATGTCTTTGAAAACCCCTCAGGGAGATGTAGGCATCTTAGGTACAAATAATCTCAGTTGATTTGAGACACCTAAAGATATCTAAGATAATTGTCTAGGCTCTCTTTGCAGTCAGTGGAGAAAAACTGGCCCATGCAGAAGACATTCATGGCTGGCCCATGCATTCATCCTGTTCTGGATAGATGTATTAAAGATCCAAGCAATAGCAAAGTGCTTCTGAAAGTTCTGTTCAACTGTACCACTTTACAGTGACTTGAACTGATCTGTAGGTACTTTATGCCTGATTGTTCCCCTCTCCCTAACCTCTGACAATGCCCTGTGAATGTAAAATCCTGATTCAGAGATTGTCTCTTCCAGACCTGTAGCAGAGATTCCCAAACAGTGGCACACATGCCACAAGTGCTGTTGAGCCTCTACAAAGTGGTATGCAGCAGTGGTATGCTGGGAGCAGCTTCGGTTCCTGCTGCCACTGGTGCTGGGGCAATACCCCAGCATGGAAATCCTCCCACACTCCTCCAATAAGAGTAACAAACATAGAGCATTTTCAACTCCAGAAAGTAAAAAATCACAGATCTAGCTTCCAAATCTTTGTTTGGAAGATTATTCTGTGTGTGTACACACACAGTTAACAGTTCTACACATGTATACGCATACATGTGGTATATATCCAATTTGTATTAGCCAAGGTGACCTGTAGTCCTTGGAATATGTGTGGCTTGCCAGCTTCTCACAAGGCATCTGCTGCAGTGGAACAGGAGCTGCTATGTAATGTGGATCCCCAGCCACACAAAGAAATGGTCCAGCACCATTTGCCAAGGCAACTGTTGCTGGATCAGCATTGGATGTCATCTGCTCAACTTGGCTCCATCCCAGGAGTCCATGGCAGGATCCCTTGGGTGACACCTGGCATGTCTCACTTGTAAAACCCACTCAGATCTGCCCCAGCCTCTTTGAATTATGTTGCTTGTATCTTAAGCCTCTCAGTGATGTGAGGATTTTGTAATGTGGTACATAGGATCAGCTAAGATGACCTAATGACCTTGTGGCTCCCTTCTCTATGGCTGCCCTTAATCACAGGGCCCACCAGGCGTGAGATGCTGCTCACCTAATTTGGACATCTAAGAGATACTTGTCTGAGGTTAAGGTAATTGTCAAGATTTCCCATGATTGTCACTGGGGAGAGGTCAGCTCCTTCCAGAAAGCTTCTTCTCCCCTGTGGTGGTTATCCAATATACTCAACTGTCCAAGGAGCCTACAGGACTGCCTTAGGTTCATACAAGTGATTCTTAGGTGTTTAAGTGAGGTGAGATGAATTCCAGCTCAAGTGTATGGGAATTCATGGACCCCACTGTAAGACCAGTCTCCAGTGCATTCAAGTCTTCTTTCTCCCACAGATGCAGAACTTGAATCTGCGGCCCCAGCTGTAAAAATCTTACAACTCTGAAAGCCTCTACCGAGGACCAAAGTGAAGGTTGTTGGAAATTACTCCATCTTGGACCTTTTAGTATTTTCCTTTCAGAAGGTACAGTCACAGATACTCCTGAAAACTCAGTGGAGTAGAGAATTATTACTTATGTTTGGCTTGTACCCCCTCACCCCCACCCCGATAGACATGATGAGTTTCCTGAGGGATACTTTTGCACCCTGGATTGATCAGTTTACCAATAAGCCAGGGCTGACCTGTTGGGTCTTATTAAATAACACACTAGTTTTATTTATGGATCAGTACATGTGTGCATTGCTAAATAAACAAGTGGCTTCTCCTAAAATCAGGGTACCATTGGCAAACTCTTAAAAATCCAACCCATAAAATAAACAGACTCCAGGAGTTACCTGTGACTCCCACCACTGCAGTAACTTCAAGGTAACAAGAAGTCAATAAACCCCCATCAACAAAATCCCCACCAGGATCCAGGAGCTGAGACTCTGAAGCAGCAGTCATCAAGGGAAACTAAGTGATTCAGTAAAACATTAACGTTCCCAGAGGAACCATATTTGGGCTGCCTTGATTTGGTGAGAGAGGCAGCCCTGACCACTTACCAAAGGCAAAATATAGGCCATCGAAGAGACTCCCGTTTGGACAGTGCCTGTAGAGCCGCTCTGCTATCTGACTTGCTCCCTGCCTGCTATCAGGCTAGCTATCATCCCTAGCTGTCTAGATGCCAAGGTAGAGGGACTGTGAGCCAGTGAGTAGTTTCTCACCCTACACTAAGTCATTTCACTGATCAGGTAGGATTCAGTCTCTTTCTGTTCTCCTAGATCTTGCAGATCCCCAAACTGATGTCTGATAGCACCTTCCATTTGCAGCATGCAATAATTCTAATTTCAATGGGCAGAGCAAACCCTGCCTTTGCCCTAACATTGCTAAGATCAGTAACTAATTACCTCTTTTTCTGGGCTCTTTCAGCACAGGCAGCTTTGTCCTGTCTCCCCCAGCAGACCGCATTCTGTACAGCAAGGAGAGAAATAGCACCTCACAAAAGGTGGCTGGGCACATCATTGTGGTGATCCAAAACAGCCATGCGACAGCCAGGACAGGTGCACATACTGAACAGAAAGGATCTAGCAACTGGTGGACTACTTTCCGTCACTGCCTTCTCAGGTAGACAGATCTACTTATAGTCAGGCTTTTATGGCCTCCAACACCTCAGCATCAGAACATGTTATAATAATTAGTACATTGATCCTTTCCACCTCGCTGTCAGGTGGGGAAGGAATAGTTAGTTTCATTGCATGTATGGGAACTCCAGAAAGCAGTTACATTCATGTCATTTTACTTCAGCTGTTTAGTCCAACTGGTTATTACAACTGCCTAATAATCAGGGAAGCGAGGCCAGTACCTCTGCAAGACTTTTCAGTCCATCCAATGCTAGTGGACAAATTGCCATTAGAAATATCCTGTCTCTCTGCTGGTTAGTGATTTGGTCATCAGCTGGGACCATATACCTAATGTTAAATGAGCTGAATCTCACCTTGAGGGAAGAGGGGCCTTAGAGACTTGTATGTGTTAGAGCAAGGAACAGAACCCAGCTCTCCTCAGTCACAGCCATGTGCTCATACCGCTGAGCCATTCTCTCTCTTATTTGTGTAAACTGAGGGGATTTGGGTTTCCAGCATGATAAACAAGGATTTAACTACTTCCTCCCTCCTTCCAAATAACTTTCCCTGAAAGTAACACGGTAAACAGAGCCCTTGCTCTCAAAAAAGCCTTTCTGCTTGGTGTTGTTTTTGTAACTGATCCTCTGCTGGAAAACAAGCAACTCAAATTTCTGCTAAAAACAACCCAAGGGAACCTCTTAACAATAAGATTACAAGCAGTCTTATACCCTGCTCCACTGAGTCCTGTGACAGAAGAGTGGACACCCACCCATGGGTGGGTTTGTAATCCTGTGTGATAAAGAAGTGCTAGGGCAGCTAGCAGCACACAGAGAGCAGCATAGAGTGCCTCACTCACCTCCAGCTTTGTGCCCTGCTTGTCAGACAAAAGTGGACAGAGCAGCATCTAGCACCTGGGATCAGGAGTCAGAAAGAAGCTGTGGCCTCATGCTGGGCATGTGTGAGTTGCAAAGGTGGTGGTGGGCAAGGAGCGGGATGTTTGACATAGAAAGCAGGAGACTTGACAGGCTGGAATATTTTCGTCCTCAAACACCTCATTCTGAGAATGGCTTTCAAATAATAACATTTGACAGAATAATAATCTTGTGTTTGTCATTAACACCCTTTAAGGCTTAACTGCACCATGAAGGTTAGAAAATTGTTCTCTCAAAATGAAAATTCTCACATGACTAGAGAATGTAGAAGTAGGTCTAACCTGCCTTTGCAGATTGTGTCCTTCCTTTCTGTCCCATAACAATGAGTGCATGCAAATAGCCTGGTGTGTCCATAGAAGCACAGTGGCAGAAATCAAAGATCAAGACAAAGGTGATGAGTAAGGAGGAGGCAGTCATAGACAGGAGAAAAACAGGGATTGTGCTACTCCTTCTGACTGGGGAATAGCGAGAAACATAGTCTAGGAATATGTATTGGAACTGTGCCTTGTAAATGTCTTTACTTAAGGTTAGGCCTAAAAGCAGAAAGCAACTTACAGCACTTTCATTCATATGTCTCAAAGGGTGCAGTGCAGAGAGGAGCATATGGTAATCCCTACTGTAGAAAGGAAAATAATGGCCCGGAGCATCGTATCACTGAGTAGCCAAGTTGGGAGTCCCACCTGAATCAATCCTGTCTCTGGACAAAGCTGCCACTTCCCTAGGAGTACAACAGGTAAGTTT